AAAAAAAAAAAAAAATTTCCTAATTGTTATTAAGACACATAATCAATTCCCTAGCCCTTACTATACAGTTAATAAATGTATTGCTAAAGATATCTGGTGATGCTAAAATATCATTTTTAAAAGGCAGCTACATCTAAAATACAACACAATAATTAATGTAAAGTTCCATAAATTATTCAATTGTACCATCATATGAAAAGCATTCCCCAGATGACTTTAGAATGAGAAAAGAAAGTAATAAATGTCTCAATATTGTATAGTATTTTTCGAGGGATACCATAGCAATGGAAAAAAAAAAAAACACTCCGGATACTACAGAGTTTAATCTCCAGGAATCACAATAGCCTTGTATTATACAAGCTAGTTTAGTATCTGTCAGTTTATCTGGACTGAACCATGCTTTCACCACTGAATAAAAGAGAGGTTAGAAAAATATAACTTAAAGCCAAACCCTAGAATTTTGGTGATGCCATTAAAGTGCAGACTAACAGAGAAGCCCTAATTGAGGCTGCCAGCTGACCTTTTTATCATCAATTTTTGCTCGATTTAGTTCAGCAACAGAATGGTGCTAGGTGTTACTAGTACTAGTGGGAGAGAAAAACAGAAGGGCAGATAATACAAAAAATAATATGACAACTGCTCTGATGGAGATGTTCCTGATGTATAAGATGCTTGTAACATCTTATACATGTCACAGTGGGGAGCATGTGGGCCTGTTTTGAAGAATCAGGAAAAGTTTCTTTGGGCAGATGAGACCAGATCTAATTCCTGAAGGGCTGGACAGAAAAAAAAAATGGTGTGCGTGTATGTATGTGTGTATGCTATCAATTGTAGAACTAAATTTTATCAGAGTATAGACAATTCAAAAAAAATAAATAAATGTGACTATAGTCCAGAAAATACAAATCAAGACCACCTTGAGGTATCATTTTATATTCAATATAGTGGCAAAAATTAAATCTGTCAGTACAACTTGTGGAGCAATGGAATGTGGAGCTATGGAAGCTAGAGAAGAAATTTTAGAATTTTAGAAATGATCTTGTGAAGTCAAACATGCACATAACTCTATGTCTCAGGAACTTCACTCTTAGAGATTTCTTGTATATGTACCTCAGAAGCTATGCATATGAATGTTTACAGCTACAACACCAGAAACACCTATCGAGATGGACAATGGAATGAGTACATGAAGTATGTCTACACAAAGCACTATCATGCAGTAGTGACAATGAATGATATGCAGTTACACACAAATTAAATGAATGTTGGAGACAAAATATTTAGTTAAAAATAACTCACCAAAGGCAACAAACTATTAATATTATAAAGCTCAAAAATGAACAAACTAAACTAAATAATCAACAGCTAAGGCATTTATATATATATATGGTGCCATTATAGTCAAGTGATTATCTCTTATAAGGGATAAGATCAGGATGAAGCCTACAGATGATTTTAATGGTATTGGTAGTGTTCTGACACTTAAGTTCAGTGGAGAATTCTTAAACGCCCATTCAGTATTATGTTTCATCACTCATGTTTATATGACGTATATTAATTGTTATTAATTTTACATACAGTAATTTTATAAAAATATTAATGCACAGTAAAATATTTTTAAACATGAATGGGCTGACTAGGGACATATAACAGATAAAAATCATCACACTCATAAAATGATCACAAAAATAGATAATATACTCACCGGGTTGATTTCGACATCAGCAATCTCAACAGATCCACCAATCTTAAGGTCTATGACATTTCCACAACGAATAGCAACCTTGTTTAGGAAAAATGTAAAACTTTGTAGAAACCACATTAAAATATAATTATATATTGCTGAAGTATTACCTGGCATTTACATAACATTTTGTAATTTAAATAAATAATAGTAACATATTATACATGTACAAAATTTATTCTGGAAATTGTCATCAAATATCTTGTTTTGCAAAACTGATGCTCCTAAGAAGAGTGAATATTCAACCGTTGAAAACCACTACAAACGGGATTAGTTGATAGCTTGTGAACTTGAATGCACGGTTCTACCAATTTGACTAAACTTTATTGCCACTCTCTGTAGCACTGTTTTTATTTATCTAATTTCAATGGATTATTAAAAATTAAAAAAAAGAAACAAGAGCCTGAGTGCAGTATACTTCTTCTCCCAGAAAGATACTAATATTCACAACAACCATAATAATGACAGCAGCTAAAAGTTGCTGCATATATAGACCAAGTACAGTGCTAAAAACATTATCCCCTTAATAATACTCAATATTCTATGATGTAACTACCATTTCTACCTCTAATATCAAAGTGAAGAAAACTGACTCTTACAGAAGCCAAATATTTTGTCCTTTTTTCGAGGTCACAAACTTCAAAGCAGGAGTGACTAAACCAAGGACTGTCTGAACGCTCAATTGCTTCCAAGAAAATTAAGATAGTAAATTAAGAATATACTTGTGTAATTCCTACACAATAAGATCTGTAGATTATCTGAACATATAATTATTTAAGCAAAATGCCAGCAGCACAAAAATAGCATTCCCTGAAAGCCCTACCTATATAAGAACAGGAAAGAGTGAAAGTCTAGATTTAAATCTAAATGTACATTATATCTGAAAAAGCAAAGTGAGTGTATTTCACTCTTCCACAGAATCAGTGACACTATTTATAGACAAAGAAATCAAAAAATACTATTTTTTAGAATTTTTGGGGAAATCAATCTGCCAACTAAATAGCCTTATTAAAGTTGCTGTATTCATAATACTATACTATTGTCACATTTTATTTGAAGAGTATATAATACACAAACAATATATTAGATCAAAATCACAAGAAACATAATTTAATGATTCAGAGGAAGTTACAAATTGACATAGTCTTCATTAATGAACCACGTATACAAGTTCCAACTCCCCATGGCTGCCTTTGATACACCTCCTCATTTCTTCTTCACTGAAGACTCCCGGCTGTCATAACTCATTCATCATCCTAGTCCTTGACCTTTACATCTCTAGAGACTTAAACTAAACTCTGGACAATATCACTCCTCATAAATCCACCACCTCTGGAACTATACATTTATTCATCTATCTCATTCCCACAACCCCCTTTCACCCTTGCTTACTTACACATTTTCAGAGACAATAGTCCCTGGATGTCACATGTCACAGAGAGTTTCAAGCCTGTGATGTGTGATGTTGTCTGGATCAGCCCTAATTCACCTGTCTCTATTTTCTCTTTGATTGTACTTCCTCTAAAGTTTATCATTTCATCTTCTCACTTAATAATATATTCAGTCTGTTAGCGCTCATGTGGGTCCTCACAGGAACAATAGAAAAATTCTCTTCCAGCTCTACGATGAATCCTTAGCCTTCAGACCAGAATGTAGAGGCGGCTGCCTCTTTACTAGACATCTCTATATGGAGATCCAAAAGATGCCTCCAACTCAAACAGACATTTCCCTCTAAAATCTGCTGCTCATGCTCTTATCTCTCTCTCTGAATGTTGACGTCACCTCCTTCACTCTTGACTAGTCCCTCTCATTTATGTGACTCCCTTCTCAATCACCACGCCCCAAGGATTCATCTCCTAAATTTGACTAGAATTGTCTAGAATCCTACTTCCTGAAAGAGAACACCAGTTTCTCTTGTCTGGATGTCTTCACCAGACTAATAACTCTGCACTCAATCTTGCTAGCCCGTTTACCAAAGTGATGTCTGAAAAATGCAAATCTGATTGTGAAACTCCCATGGTTAAAACTCCTAGCTCTTAAAATGAAGGCTGGATTTCTTAACGTTGTTGATAAGGTCCTGTTATAATCTAAAACTCACATAGGTCTCTAAGTACATTTCCCCCTACTATCATCCATGCAGTTTATAATCTAGTCATGCTAATCTTTAAGTTTCTTATATATTCCCTGCAATTGTCTCTCTCCCCAAAGCCTGAACATATGTTGTTTTAGTCTTCCTTAAATATTCTTTCTTCCTCTCCTCCACCCCACTATCATCCTTTTAATCTGACTTATTCTTAACTTTGGTGTCTTCTATTTTTTATTTTATTATATTTTATTTTTTTATTTCAGCATATTACAATGGTACAAATGTTTAGGTTACGTATATTGCCTTTGCCCCACCCAAGTCAGAGCTTCAAGCCTGTCCATCCCTCAGATGCTGCATACTGCACCCATTAGGAGTATATACGCCCATCCCCACCTCCCCCCTCCCATCCGCCCAACACCTGATGAATGTTATTCCTATATGTGAAATTAGGTGTTGATCAGTTAATAACAATTTGATGGTGAGTTCATGTGGTGCTTGTTTTTCCATTCTTGGAATATTTCACTTAGTAGAGTGGGCTCCAGCTCTATCCCTTAGGAAGCTGTCCTGATACTTTAAGCCTGGGATGTGTATCTCTCTTGTGTATTCCTTTAGCCTGCTGCATTTCTTCATCACAGTACTTATTATACTATATTTAATTATTTCTTGAATTGTTTGTATCCTCCACCAGATTGTAAGCTCTTTGACATCAAGGACCCTGATATTTTGTTCATCTTTGCATCTTTAGCATGTACAACAGAGATTTGTGCATAATGTGAATGCTGAATGAATAAATAAATAAATGAATCTCATCATATTACAATGTTTAAAAGGTAAAATTTTTTTAAAAGGCATAATCCTCTAAAATACAGTGAGAATTAAATGTAGTAAAATATGTATTTTTGGTGGCCATATTTTTTAAATTTTTCCTAGAATATTGTGTTAAAAATATGCTGCTCAAGTCACAGATCATGTATCACAATATATAATTTATAAACATCTTTCAGTGCATATTTATTTATAAAAATAAGATATCATTCTTAAGTAATTTATTTGGGGGTCAGGCAAATCAGTGTTCATTATATCAAGTTACATATTATTTAATCATACATCATTATGGTAAACTGAGGGATTGCATGGGGGATATATATATAAAGCTATTCATTTTAATCTGATAACAGTGTATATACTTTTTTTAATAGGAGTAAATGCAAACACTTAATCATCAAATTATTAAAGATCAAGATCATCCCATTCCTTAGGTTTTATAATTAAATAAAATTTTATACAGACTGGTCTTGCATATTTTATTTATTCTATGTAATGAGCACTTAAGAGAAGCACCTAACATCAAGGTAATAATTTTTCGTTTACATAATTCCCAGGACATAAAACAGTAAAACACTGTATGTGTGCTATAAAATATAGATATTAACATCAAATATAATCTGTATACAATTCATATAGTTGTTAAAACTATTTAGAATTATTCCTCCAAAATTGATTATTTTTTCCTAAGCTACCTAACTAATGCCATGATGAAAAAGCCATTCTTTTCTCTGTAACTAGTTAGGGTTTGTCAAAACTCAGAAATGCCAAATATCATTGTAATTTCATGTGACAGTGCCTCATATTGATAGAAGATATCCACTTCAACTTAGTATAAATTTCCATTACCGACTTTCACCAAAAATATTTTCTGCAAATCCCCTCCAAGTTCTGCTACTAAATTGTGCATTAGATGATATAGATAAGTTTGCTTATATTTTTAGATCTCTAAAAACTATACTTCTTTAAAGCTAAGTTAATTTCTAGAAAAATAATAGAAATTTTGAATTTTGCTCTTCAGCATCATAACTTTAAGCCCCATTTCCAATAGAAGAAATAATTAAAACAAGTTTTCTAAGAATAAATATGTGCACTACATTTTATAGCATTGTATCTACTATTATAAATGGTTTAAACAACCAAACAAACCCACAAAGACATATATAAAGGTCAAAAACTCGTATGTGTAGACATACCTGTGCTCTTGTATCAAATTTTTCTGCCACAGTGGGTGTACAGGAGATATTGAGAACAGTGAGCCCCCCAACTGGAATTATTCCTTGTGATGGAATAATATCAATGATAGGCAAAAGACTCTGGCCACAAACCTGTAATTGAAAATTTGCAGAAATGCTACATTATCCTTTAAAGTTACAGTTTTAAAGCTTTCATAGGAAAGCTTTCACACTATTACCTAGAGAGAGGATCCCCAGGCACTGGACATGATATGATTTTCTAATAGTGTTTGAAAATATTAGATACACAAATAGTGTGAAGTACAAGAAATTGCAACCCTAATCCAGCAAACAGAATCTTCAGTAGTGACACCTTCCCATTCAAATAGGATAATCAAGTTTATTGTCTAGAGTACTTTCAACATTGCAAAATTTCTAAAGATATTTGTCAGAGAAGATGACAACATTCTAGATAATACTTTGACAGTTTGTCCTTCCCTCATCCTAAAAACTCAAGGCAAAGTTAGTGAGGAGGCAGGATGATAGTAATGTCTAAGATAACATTCTGATCTTCCAAAAAATTATAAGTAACTTACCAAGGATTTATGGTATGGTTTTTTCATAGACCAATTCAGGTCTACGTATAGTGCTTTAAGCCAGAATGATTTAAAGAGAAAGTTGTCAAGAGATTTTGGGGAATAAGGGAACAAATAGTCTATGTAGGTAAGAACTAATTCTGATGCTGCAAAGTAGAAAAAGATCTCCTCATTTGTTTATTTTGGCCAAAGAGTTGATCTGGGCAGAAAAAACACATGAACGTAAAGCTTGAGTGCAAGATCTCAAAAGCTAACCTCTATTACCACTACTGGGGAGCAGGTGTCTTACTATATTTCCAGTTAAAAAACAAAAAAATCCTATCACCACCTTGCCATCCTTCCATTTAAACCAAGAGCAACAACTATAAATGGACGATCTCCAGAATAGCCTTGATCCAGGTCCCAGTGGCTAGTATACCAGTCCTGATTACAGAATGAAAACGAAGAGAAAAGGGAAAGCATGGAACTAAATATGGAATGTAACATTAATTAACAATGTATATTTAAATTTTTTAAACATCTATTTTTTTCAATAAAACCAAATAACAGACAGAAAGAAACAAAGGAGGAAGAGGAAAAGAAAGAGAAAGGCTAAGCAAGGAAGGGAGAGAAATGATTCTTATAAGAAATTAAATTATCTGTATTTAGATAAATCTCATATGAAATATCTAAAAATTAGTATAAGTCAATTTATAAAGAATAAAATATTAACTTCATGGTATTCATGGCACAAAAAATTGATTCAAATTATAATGCGATCTGATCCAAATAAGAAATTACTAATATTCTATATTACCTGGAAATACGCATGATTTTGTCCCACATTGTGAAGAATGGCTTTCCTCCAAGTTGTTAAACCTTGAGGGCAATTACTGAAGAATATCTTTCGCTCCAAAAATGTAACCTTTGTATGACCAAGCTAATAATGAGAGAAGGAAAGGAAAAAATGCAATTGAAATAATAGTAAATAAAATA